CTCCTGCGCCGCAGGTGCTGCGGCAACCGCCCCTGGGCCGGCATGGGCCACGCGGCCATCGTGCAGGCGGTCTGCATCGAGGGCCGCGCGCTGCAGTTTGGCCCGGACGTGCCAGAGGGCATTGCGCTGCTCGCGGCCGCTTGCATGGCGCGCGACCCCGCAGATAGGCCGAGCTTTGAGGACGTGCTTGAGATACTGGATCCCCTTGGCGCCGCGCTCTGCGGCCTGCCGCTGCCCACGTGCGAGGGGGCGGGCGGCGGCGGCGGCAGGTCAGGGCCGTGACGGGCGCCCCGCCCGGCTTGTCGGTCGGCTGTGCGCGTGCTGGTCGCGGCGCAGGTGTGTGCCGCGGGTGTGCGCCGGAGCCCCTTATGTGCCCGGGCCGCGCGTTTGTTGAGAGGGAATACCGTCAGGTTTAATGGCGGAGCCTGCGGGGACGGGCGCCGGCGGCAGCGCGCTGCCGGCATGAATTTGCAGGCGCAGGCGCGGGCGCGGCGGCGGCCTGTGTGGCTCGCAGGCTCAGCCGTGGCCCTGCCTTTTCCCAGCGCACGGCCGCGTATGCTGAAATAGAGAGCTGAGCGGAATGCATCAGGCGCCCGTTTTGAGGGCAATATCAGCAGTCGAATTCTGCTCGTTGCTTTCTTTCCGGGGGCTTCCAGTGAAATTTCCATACAAAGGGGGGGTCAGGCAAGCCGCTGCGCGTCCTGCATGCCATGTCACTGACCCCTGCATCAACCTTTTCGGGCCTCGCAAATCTTACGTTTTCACATTATACAACCTCCCTCACGGGTCCGTGCTGTGCACCCGCACCCCCCAAAGCGCAACCCCCTGTGGGTGTCATAGCGCCCCCTCGCACGGCCCCCCTCCCCGTCTGTGAACGGTCGCTTCACGTTTGACGTGCTCGCCCCACCTCACTGTGCGGCGCAGTGACGCACACCCCCACCAGGCCGCGCCCCCGGCGCAAACGGCCGCGCGCCATTCGCACTCCCCGCTGGCTGGTGGGGCCGCGGGCGATAGTGTTGCGGACCCGGATTAGCAAACGGGTTGCCCAGATCAGCATGGATTATGCGCATCACTGCTGCCAATGGCCTCGGCCTGGGCCATTATACGCACCGCCAGCACTCTGCGCCGCGAGCGCCCCGGGTGCGCGCCACACGGTCGGGGCGGCATCGGTTTACTGGTCATCATCCCGTGCGCTGCACCGCTCGGCCAGCCCCAACGCTTCAACCCATGTTGTCAGTCCCCGCTGCTGCAGCGGCATCCCTCTCAATCAGCCGCGTCCGGCGAGCCGCGGGGCGACCGCGTCCAGCGTGCCTCCTTCAGTATGCTTCCAGGCTGTCGCCTTATGGGACGTGAGGTTTCTGACACTTTTCGTCTCTCCGCGCGGCCGCGAATACCCCTGTTCGTTAAAGTTTGCCTTGCTGCCCCTCGCTCCAGCGCCTGGGCCGCGCTGCCGCGGCGTCGCGCTGCACAGCGCGGAAGCAGGCTGCTGAACCCGTGGCGCTTGGCGGGGGAGGGGGGGGTCGTCATGTCTGTGGGCGCAGACGGGCGATTTCTGTGACCTCCCACGAATGCCTGGCTGCACCGATGCGCCCGTGCACGCCCAAAGAGTTGCCCGCGGCACCTGCGAGAGGCCGCCATTTTCACAGGCCTTGCGCCGCTCAGGCGCCGGCCCCCCTTCCCCCAATGTGCTCTGCTGAGGCACCCTCATTCGTCCCCTGACGGCCCGCCAGGGAGTGGCAGGGCGTCCAACCCTGGCCAGGCGGGCCTTCTGCAGCTGCCTTGACCGCCGAGCGGCAACCAACGCGTCGCGTAGCCGGCCGTATTGGCTCTGGATTTGCCGCTGCGCGAGCAACTGTGCGCCGTGATGTCACCAGCCTATGCGGGTGGCTTATACTTGCAAGCAAAGGTGGTTTCTGCCCTGGTCACGCACACAAGGCATCCTATGCACCTGTTTTCCGGGGGGTTGACCCCTCACCGTATACACCCACAAATTGCCCCACCCTCTCCGCGCATACACCATTAGTGTGCTCATTTGGGCTGGCGCATCTGACATCATATCGCATGCGGGAAGTGGTACCAAAGTTTGGGAGGGCTCAGCGCTGCGCAAACGGTAGTCACAGCGGCGTGTGAAATTGCGGTCAATTTCGGGTCAAGCATGACACAGACATACGACATTGCATTGGGGCTGTCTACCGTATCTAGGGGTGTGTGGCGGCAATTATATGCCCGTCGCATGGAGAGCTACCACCTAAAGTTGAAATTTTCAAGCGCTGGGCTTGTGTTGCCACGCAGTTCAGGCGGTTGGAAATGCGCGGTTGGGCTCTATTACACCGGCTTTTGTCAAGAGCGGCCCTCTGCGTGATGACCCCGGTATCACCATTGGATCCACAACCAACAGATAGTGAACTACATAGCGCGAACCAGGTATCCGCTGACTTCTCTATCGGCGACTTTCGGTGATGCATCACCCGACCATTTCGAAGCCAACCCAGCCACCCCAAACGAATCACAGCCTTAGCCCTATCCCGACCATACCCATTCTTCATTTAGTTCAGCCAGCTTCAAGGACGGTGGACAACAACTTGTTGGCCATGGCTGGACACGTGGACCACGTAGCCTGGTTACTGCACATGCGTCCTCTTCTTATGGCTCCCTGCACTTGAAAGACTGTCATACAAGGCAGCCCGCCCGGGGGCACCCGGCAGCATGATCTGCCAACGGCGTACCGGTATGCTCCTGGCCCTCTGGGCGGCCCTGGCGGGCATCAGCATGAATGCCGCTCTCGCCCAGGACTGGCAGGCAGCGCTGCACCAGTTTTCACACCAGGACGACCTGCCGCAGCAGCGCGCCGCGCTGCTGACGCTGCTCGACGCCACCGGCGCGTCGTCCAAGCTCCATGCAACGCAGCAGGCTCAGGTCGTCGGCAGCCCCGGCCTGTTCGCATGGGCGACCCCGAACACGTCCTACTGCACCTGGTGGGGCGTCAACTGCTGCAGCGCGACGCTCACGGCGTCGCTGCAGCTGTGCTTGCAGGGCACCAACTCGGTCAGCGGGCTGCATGTCGTGGCAGTCAATCTGACGGGGCAGCTTCCCGACGTGTTCGAGGACCTTCCCGACCTGCAGCTGCTCGCCATCGCCTACAACAGAGGTGGGCCGAAACTTGCGCGCATGTGCGCGGGCATGCGGGCCCGGAGGTTGGAGGGTGAGCTGTCAGCCACGGCTGCATGTCGCCAGCGCGCCGAAAGCACGCGAGCCCTGCGCGGCCCGGCCCCCAAAGCTTGCGCGCATGCGTGCGCATGCGGCCGCCGTCCCCGCAGGACTGGTCGGGCCGCTGCCCCCGAGCATCGGAAAGTTGCAAAACCTGTGGTCTATAGATGCCACTGGGACCAGCCTGACATGCAGCGGCGTGGCCCCATTTGACGAGCCGCGGACGCCGCCCCGCGCGGCCGCCGCGGCCGCGGCGGGCGGCGCGGCGTGCCCGCTGCCGGGGTGGCTGATGTTCACTGATGATTACTACTTCCAGCCCAACATGCTCGAGTGCCCGGGCATCACATTTACGTGGGTGGGACAGCGGGCTGGGCCGCGTGTGCCGCCGGGGGCCAGGGCGCGAACACGGCGGCAGGGCGCGGCGAGGGGATCCCCAGTCAAATCGCAAGTGCGGTTTGCGGCCGCGCGCAGCTGCCCCTGCAAGGCGCGCGCCGCCTGCGCGGCGGCCGCGCCCGCGCGATGCCCAACGCATGCCGGCCGCGCCACCTGTCCCCCTTCAGGACCCCGAGGGACCGGGCTGACCTCCTGCAGCGCGCGTACGTGGGGGCGAGCAGTCCTGAGGTTTACCTGGAGAGCTTCTATTACGAAAACAGCCCAAAGGTGGGGTGAAAGGGGTGCGAGCAGCAGCAGCAGCAGCAGCAACAGCAGCTGGTGCTCCGGCATGCCACAGGTCGGCGCCGTCGGACTGCAAAAACGCACTTCCAGCTGCTCAAGCTGCTGCTGTCCCAAGTGGTGGCCATGAATCGGCCCACGCCCTTGGGGGGGCGCGCCGTGCACAGCGGCGCACAGCGGGGCCTCTGCTGGCGAGGGTCAGGGCGGGCTGCGGCGTTTTGCAGGGGTTGCAATGCGGCGCCTGTTTCTCAATTAGGGGAGCTCGCCGAAGCCGCGAGGCGCCGGGCCGGGCGGCTGGCTGGGCCGGGGCGCGCTGGTGCCGCGGTTTTTGGAAGGGTTGGCGCCGGGGCCCTGAGCCGGTCGTCCGCGCCTGCGGCGAAACCTGAATCACTGCAGGGCAACTTTTGCGGCAGCGCCGACATGGGATCTGGAAAGCTCGCCATGCCGGACGCGTCGGTCGGCCTGCCGGTGCGTGGCTGGCCGCACGGCCGCGCACGCTGCAACCGGCCCCCGCAGGAGGGGGCGGGGGCCGCCCGGCCAGAGGTCGAAGGGGCGTGCTCTGGGCGTGTGGCATCAACAGCGCGAGACGCGATCGGCAGGGGCCGCAGCGCGGCCGCCCCGACCCCGCGCCCTCCGCGCTCCTCTGCCGGACGCACCCATTCGCCCGCCCGCGCCGCCTGCGCGCGGGCCCCGCCCGCGCGCCTCTCCGCCGACCTCAACCCTCTCAGATCGTGGTGCTGGTGATATTGGTGCCTTTCCTGGCGGTTTCTGTTGGCCTTGTGCTGCTGTCAGTGGCTCTGATGAGGTACCTGCGATACCTGAAGCGGTCTCACGATGCCATACATTTGACGGTGCGGGGGAGGCAGGGGGCGACGCGTCGTCAATGCGTGCGATCGCGCATTGGTGTCACGATGTGTGCGCATGTGTTCGGTTTGTGTGTGCGTATTAAGCTTTCGCGGACAGGTGACACAATTTTGGCACGAGGGAGGATGCTTGCGAGATTGTGTGCACGTGGGCATGTGCGTGTGTGGGTGTGCGTGCGCGTGTGCGTGTGCAAGTGAGAGTGCGTGAGATTCTGCAAGCACGCAGGGCGCGCGTGGTGCGCCCGGACGCGACGCCTGCAAACACGCAGCTTCCGCGCACGCTCGCCAGCCTGGCGCCCGCTCGGCGGCTTGGACCGAGGCTTGGTGTTCGGCCACTCGAACAACCTCCCTTTGCCGCGTCGGTTTCTTGGACCCTCCACCGCCTGGCCGCCGCGGGAGACAAAACCATCGCCCGTCACCGCGCCGCCGCCACCTTGCCCCCCGCGCCGACCCCCCGCAGGAGGGCTGGAAGCGCCGCAACCCGCCGGGGCTCATCAGCGACGGCAACGACCGGGTGCTTCGCGAGGTGGGGGGAGTGGCCAGACAGGGTTGAGGGATTTTGAGATTGTGTTGGTGACCGGGTTGAGTGTGGTGCAGTGGGGTGACAGGGCTGGGGTTTGGGAGGGGGGCGTGCGGGTTGCGGTCCCAGGGACCGCTGACCGGGCCCGCTTTGGGGCCGAGCCATGGGTGGCCGCCCGGCCGAGGGTGCTGAGTGTCGGGCGCGGCTACCACAAGCGGCGTGCGTACGTGCGCGCGCGCGGCCGGCGGTCGGAATGGTGGCGGTCGCCCCGCCTGCAGCGGTGAGCATAGGGCCCGCGCGGCCGCACAAAGCCCGGCGACTCGCCGGGCCCGCCGCAGCTTCGCGCAACGCGATCCGGCGCGTCGTCGTCGTGCGCGGCCCGCCCTGCCAGGTGACGATCGTGATCACGGACGTAGAGGGGTCTACCGAGCTGTGGGAGTGGGACGGCGGCGTCATGGACGCGGCCCAGGAGATCCACGACAGCCTCATGAGGGACCTCATCAGCAAGTGGGTCACCGCACACTCAGGGTCTAGGGTTGGGCTTTCGAAGGGGCGCCGTCGGATCGAAAAATCAGAGTCCGGCGATGCCCCCCACGAAACGGCCGGTCGCGCCCCCAAGGGCGCGGCGGCGTCCCGGGCGCGTGCTGGGCTTGCGTGCCCCACCTGACGGTTCGGCCCCTCCATGAATGGCTGTCCCTTGCGGCGCTCCTCCGCCGCCCTCTTTGCACTGCCTCTGCCTTCTTGAGCTCATCACTCGGGCCCGCGTCATCCATTTCCCTGTCCTCATGCATGATTTGACCACACACCATGCGATTGGCTGAGTTTGGCAACGTAACCGCCCATCGGCAGGTACTGCGGGTTTGAGGTCACCACTGAGGGAGACTCCTTCACAGTCGCGTTCCACGACGCCTTTGACGCGGTCTCTTGGGCACTCGCGATGCAGCAGGTGAGCATCTGGCCGGGCATGAGGCGTGTTTTTCAAGGGGGGAAGGACCCCCGAATTATTCGCATCCGCACACGGCTGCATTCGAGCTCCACACGCGCGCATACACACACAGACACGTGTGCACACACACACACACGCGCACACACACACACACACACACACACACACACACACCAAAAGTACACACGCACGTGCATCGAATTCCCCCCACCCAACGTAGCACCACAATATCCGCATCTTGCCGTCGCGCAGAGCACACCTACACGCACCCTACGCGTCCCCATGCACCCACGATGCGTCCCGAAGCACGCGCCATCGCATGGCCCCCGACCACTCTTAGGCAATGCTGGAGGCTGACTGGCCCGAGGCGCTGCTGTCACATGAGAAGGCGGCGGTTGTGCTGTCCGACCTGTCGGACAGCAGCCGCCCGGGGACGCTGCTCTTCAGGGGGCTGCGCGTGCGAGTCGCGGTCAGCACGGGTGCGCGTGTGGGGGCAGGGAGCTCGTCTGTGTGCGCACAGAGGCATGTGCGGATGGGCAAGGGCCGGGGCTTTCTTGCTGACGCAGGAGTGGTGCGTCATGCGTCCTGAGGCCTGGGACACCATACGAGTTGCAGCGCCCGACAATGCTTGCAAGCGCGCACCGACACACACACACACACACACACACACACACACACACACGCACGCACGCACGCGCACACACACACACACACACACACACGCACGCACGCACGCGCACACACACACACACACACACACACACA